AACTTAATATGTATTTTTTCTTCCACTAGTAAGCTTTTCTCTCATGTCTGTTTAACTTTTTAAATTTTATGACAGAATAAAAGTAGTACAGAAGAGCCTTATGTCATTAAGGAAAATGTCAAGGGCTTTCTCAAACAGTGAAGATTTAGGGTTTTTTTCATCCTTGCTAAATCATTAGAAATTACTGCTTAAATGTCTAATTTAAATCATTAAATAGCTCACTTTGAAATTTTGTTCATATTGTTTCAAAGGTTTTACTGTCCTCAGTACAGACTCATATTTCTTAAACAACTTATTATGCTGTGTATATAGCAATGCATTAGAGCTAACTAAACTGTTCATCATCATCATAGATTAAACCTAACCCATTGTATTACAATATTTCTAATAGGAATATTTTTTCTGTTGTTTTTTTTTTTTTTTTCTGTTTTTATTCTCCCTTGGATTAAAAAATTACCTGACAAATGGATTTTCATCCACAACTCATGTCATTATTATTAAGAATACTCTAAATGGGGAGGAAATTTTCAAGATTGTGCCTTTTTTAAAGGGTTCTGTTATGTCTTGATTCACAATCTCTCACTGAAATGATTTTTTTAAAGGGTAATAGATTCTATAGAATAGAAGAAAAACAGAGTTTTTTTATGGAACAATCCATGTACAGAAGAGAAGGCAGACATTGACAGACTGTACAGAAGCAAATTGATTTCTACAAGATTTATACACTCCTGTACATCAAGGGAGCTTTGTCAGAATTTGTTTTGACTTTAGTAATTTAGATATTCTTGGTTATATCCACTAATGTTATATTCATGAACAGAGATATAGACAAGAAATTCTTAAGATAGTCAGATAGTGTACATTCTATATAACAACATAGATGCAGTTGCAAATTTAGCCTCCGCAGGAGTTTTGGGGGAAGTTAAACACATTCCACAGCAGCTTGCTTTATTGCATTCTGCAAAATTTGTAATTAGAGGATTCAATGACGTAGAGAAAATACTTTTTTTCCTCATAGATCCTCTGAAGATATTACAGAGAATTTTATTTTTTTTTTAGCTTTTGTGCCTCACTTAATATCACAGATGCCATCAAGATGGCAAGGAATGGCCAGTATACTTCAGTCAAGGAAGGAAGGGGGATATTTGAGAGCTTGTCACAATTCATTACCAGATCAGAATGGTAATGTTGATGACTCTTCCATGATAAATGCTCTCCTACTCAAAGATACAGGAACAGATTTTTAGGACAATATAACTTGAAAAATCATACTCAGATACAATGCTGTTCAATGTTTTTTGTGATACAGTGCCCTTCAAAGTGATAAAGAACATAGGTCTGCTTGAGATCATATACCACATGCATTAAGATTCGTTCCACCAGAAGGATTCTGATACAGGCTTCTCACAAATGTGCTGTGGTCTTGTGAGAAGGCAAAGACATGCTATTCTGGAACAATTAATATGAAGATTCACTGATAACTAGCTAAGCCTCTGACATTCGTTTTCACACTTGTCTAACTGCAGTGTCTTTCCCTGCCATGTCAGAGAGGGAAACAAGGGAGGATGATCAGAAAGGAAAGCCTTTTTCATGTGAATGTGGAAATGGAGGAAGGTGAAAGCTGTGTGAGCTGAGCAAAAATTCAAGACCTAAGAAGGAGAATCACAGAGAAACAGTATACACTGCAGAGAAGTTTTAGGATGTCAGTGAATAACAAAATAAAAGAAATCTAGAATTAAAACAGGTGTGGAAGACTGCAGCCAAGGAAGAAGAAGGATATTAAATTCAAAGTTCAGGTAGCCATGGAGAACTGATCTGATCCAATTACTGGAGACACTAGTGTCCTGACATGGCAGCATCATTGTCAGCCAAGTTGAGAACACTGCTTCCAAGTACTTGTGAAAGCTTCATAAAAAGATAACAATTTAAAATTAGTTCTTTATTTCCTAGTTAACCAAACAAGGTTTCCAAACTTGCAATGCAAGTAGATGTTATATATCAATGCCTTTATCTTTACAAATTCCTTTACCTTCTTTCTCTTGTTCATTGTTACAGGAGCCTATATTTTGTTTTATGATTCTCTTCTGTTGGTGATCTGAAAATTCAAAGTCTTCATTGAAGATTTACGATAAGATCTTTGAAAAAGCCAACCAGCCATGAAATAGGAGAATAATGATCTGCTCTTTTCTTTCTGACCAGATTAGTACAAAGCATTTTGCTTAGTACTTTGTACTAAATTTGCAAATTTCTACTCATACACACACTTTAATGCAATTTATTGCTTACTACTAGAATCTAGTGTACAAATTGAGATTGTCTCAAATAATCATCCCCTTTCCAAAAGATTTACAGTGGAGCTGAAGGAGGAGAAAAAGGCGATGACAATGAGAAAAGGTTTGAGATTTAATACATAATAACAATATGTGCTTTTTCTAAGGCCTCTAGAATTCAGCAGAGCATAATTTCTACAGGACATTGCATACCATCCAGGAAAAGCATTCTATTTAAAGGTATCAAATAATCTAAAAATATTAGAGATATGTGGCACATACAAACCACTATTTCCACCTTATCACAAAACAAGAATGGCCCAAGATTACCCAAGGCAGCTGTGGCAAAATAGAGCGATACTGAAAACATGTCAATCTAGAAAAAGAGGAAGATCCTTTCAGCCTTCACCAACTGCATGGTTACATATATAAAGTCTGAATATCACTGATTTAGAAAGCCTAGGGTGTAAGTAGATTGGTTTCATAAATTTTCTGTGTGATAAACATTCTGTTACTTCCTACAGTTTTACTTTTATTTCAGAGCTGGTTTCTTCTGTCAAAGGCTAAGCTGGTCTTTGATGTTATATAAAGTATATTTTTCAATTAAAAAATGCTCCTATTTGTTCTCTATTCTGACAACTTGTGATACTATTTTCAACTACATTTATAAGAAGAATCTTTTGTTTCAATCTGTCCCTTCTCCTGATCAGTGATATTTGGTGATGTACCAGTCATAAAAAGTATCTAAGCACTAAGAAGTCACATGCAGGTGTCTCGTCAGCTATTTTAAAGGTTTAAATATGTCTGCATACTCCTTTTTTCCCTTCTGACATTTTTCCAAATATTCTCATAAATTAGTTTTGTGTGTGTGGTTTGTTTTTTTTTTCTCTAGGGCTAAAATAGAACTTCAGGGTTTAGGGTTCCTCAAGGCATTGTGGCATATTCTCTCATATATGGAAAACACAGAACAGCACAACATAACAGCTTTTCATGGCAGTGTTTTACAAGTAATTCTGTCTTCTTCATTTCCTCCAAATCTCTTGCATGAAAAGTATTGCATCCTAGTGACCGGCCTTGAGCCTTAAAGAGAATTTAGTTAGATGGTTCTGAGCAGATAATCTCCCCCAAATATCTTTGCCAAATGGGTGTCTAATTTACATTCCAAATTACCTGAATTGCATGCATAAATGAGCTAATGAAACACACAAATGTGTAGCTGGTCATAAATAGTAATTTCTATGTGCAATTGCAGTAATTGCATGCTCCTCATGATTTTGAAAATCAGAATCTAATGTTAATTCGATGCTAGTTCATCTTGTGTAATAGTTATATTTAAAGATTAAGTTTATCACTCAGCAAATGTGTCAGCCTTGTTCTATTATGTCTTTTTTCCATTATGGTTAATTGACAGATATCAGAGTTCAACATTGTAGGGACTTCTTTCTTCTGATTAGCAGGGTTCAAATATTTTCTTAAAATAAGCAGGACAGCAAATCTAAAAATAGATTTTTATCTTTTTCAAAATTATCACAATTTTATACTCCTTTAAACAGCATGTTTAAAAAGAAATAATCATTTGAGGTAATGAGTTTTTTGGGGGAAAGACATAATAAGTCACATAGCAATTTTTGTCCAAATGTTCTTATTCACAATAATCACATTACAGAAATATCTAATTAATTTAACACTTTGTTTCAGTCATGGGTCCTGGCAAAATCTAAGCCTCATTTCCTGTTTTCAAATGCAGGAAATTTCGTAGCTCTTGTTACTTATTCTGCTGCCACCCCATCTGCTTTTCTCTTAGTCTGCAATTGTTTTCTGTGTAACATAGAACTAAGATCTCTATGAGGGAAATTATCAAGTGCCATGGTGTGACTGAAGGACTCAAGTGTCATATGAAAATTGCTACATAATTACACAAAAAGGCTCAGGTGTTTTATACTATGAAATTGTATGCTGTAAAGACCAAGAACATATATTGCAGTTGTAGTTCTAAGTCCACAGACATTGTTAATCTTAAAACTAAAATGAGTATTTCAACCACTTTACTGCAATGATAAGACTATAAACAATATAATTCAATCACAGGGATTATGTTTTAATCGTTTGAATGTAAGATCTGACTTTGTGTTTCTCTTTCAGTAGTTTTAACAATAGCAACAGGGTTGATAAATACAGAGCCAGTCATATCACATTCATTGTTACAAATAATGCACAGAAAAATGACTGAATAATAATAGCTGAAAGAATAATCCAAAGAATATTAAGATGCTAATGCTGATTATGTTTATAGTTAGATAGCAAGTTATGGCTGAACGCCATGCAAAGCATTTTACAGATTAGGCCTCAATCCTGTAATCTGTTTCACTCAGGAAATGCCCCAAGCCATCTGTGAGACTGCTATAAGGAATATTTACATTTTATCATACATATGTCAGTATGTCATTCCTGTCCCAGGCCTAGTAATGTGATCACTTTTATATTATATATATGTATAATTTTTATATTTTTAAAAATATTAGTTTTATTTTTTATTATTTTTAAATATATATTTAAATATATTAAAAATTAAATTTAAATATATATTAAAATTATATATATATTATTTTATATTATATATATATAAAATATGTTATATTTACCAAAAAAAAAAAACCAACAAAAAAAAACCCCTAACATTAGAACAGTCAATAAGTAGAAGCCAATAAAGGTGGAAAAACTCAGACTTACCTTCAATGGCTGCTGGTTTCTTTCTTGGACTGTGTTCTAGAAGAAGACGAGGTGGTACGAATTCCTTATGTCCTGCACCTAAGAATACAGGTTAAGAAACATAGAAAATGTATTCATTCACCTACAGGCTGAGCAGCTTCACTGGGAGGCTCTCCCTTCAAAATTGTTCACGTTAAAAGTATTAGAGTGTTCACAAAAGCTAATATCTTCCAGACACTATAAGAAGGAAATTTATTTCTCAACAAAGTAATTTATTTTTTAGAGTCACATTTGAAACCAATGAAGTCCAAGTGACTCAAACATATGCTGAAACGCTACAGTTCTGTTTTTCTTCCTTAAACTCAAAAGATAATAATAATACTATGATAATAAGGTTACATATTCATGCTGCCTCTTCTACAACAAAGTCTTATTTTCTTCTGTCAAACAAATGATCTTCAGTGGCTCCCTCAAGTCCACTTATTATGAGCTCCTGGAAACACCAGTAAAAATTATGTTGTTTCTTATCCTTAAGGATTATTCCTAATTAGCCAATACCAACCGGGTCATGCATTGTAAACACTGATGAGGTTCTGATTCCAGCTGCTGACTGAAACACCTCTACTGTCTCAGTGTTCACCTGGGACTTTCTGTACTGTCTTTGCCTATGTGCAGATGTCACGTTTTGTACAAAACACTCTTCATTTCTTCACAGATTCACAAAAATATTTAATGTACTCTTCTACTGCTTATGCTTATTTTCTAGTTTATGACATATTTGAAGTTCCCATATTTCCTTTATTTCACTAGCATTTAGTCTCAGTAGCTATCCTGTCACTGTCATTTGGAAAGTGAATTTTTTTGTGACCTGAGAAATAATATTAAGTACTTAAATATAATATTGATTCAGTCATAAACACCAGCATACATTCAATTCACCAGAGTCCACATGCAAACCAACTGTTAAATCTCAGCTCCAGCTTCACATCAGAAACTCAAAACCATGCCTCATGCTTGATGATAGAAAAGAAATTAAGGTTTTAATGGGCCTTGGAAACTGCAGCATCTTACTTACCCCTCTTGTTTTGCAAAGGTGTGTATACTCATGGGGAATGCATGAGAAAAACATCATCTGGAGATAGCAGTGGGATTTGAACATCATGGACTTAATGTTACTGCATCTTATCAACATATGTACAATTGCAGGCACATAATTTGCAAGCATGTGGTTCAGTTTGTCCCATAATTTGTATAAAATATCAAACACAGAGATGCTCAATCTTGATGTGTGCCTGAGCCACTGACAAAATGTTAACAAGTTGATAAAACCAACATATTGAAGGTGCTTTGCCGCAAACTGTAATAATCCTACATTTCCACATATTTCCTGTATTGGCAATAAACCTAAATGGGTATTTACCCATCTCATCACAGAATAGCTATAGCCTTAAAATAAATATTAGGAAAACTTCAGGAATCCAGATGCCTAGCCATGATTTTCCAAATTCTTTATGTCTGAAAAAAATATTCTTGAACTTGCAAACTGAACTAATGAGCTGCTGATTACCTTTGCTGCCAACCAGAACAGAAAATTATATTCATAACCATGTCAACACACAGAAACCTGAGTGACTGAATTTCCAGTTCAGAATAAAAACGAGAAACAACATAGCAATTAATGAAGAATGGGTAATCTTATTTTTCCTTCTACATTTGATCCTGCAATAAACATTAATTCTATTTTTTTCCATTTTTTATTCTTTCCTTTTTTTCATCCTTTTTAAAACTAGACCACCTATTACCCAGTTAGAAAAAAAATGATAACTTGGACTATTTTTTTTTTTGTGAAATAGGATAAAGGACAGTGGCTCAGAATGTTGAGTAGATGAGTAATGATGAATGATAGTCAATAATTTGGATTGCAGTGTGGTATCTACAGCGTGGAGCAATGATCTAACTCCTCTAGGTCAAATTGTAGACTGGCCCCATTATCTTCCTGTGCTTTGCTGTGGCAGCAGTTTTCTAATGATTGCACCAGTGTGCACATAATGCCAGTATGATACCACTTATTGCTAATGACATGTCAAGTTCTATTTTATAGCTTTACAAGTTTTAAGAAAATAATTTATTTCATGCAAATTGACCACATGATCCAATATGAGAGTGTTTTACATTTAAGCTTCACAGATCAAAACCTTTCCCTTAGGCCAAAATGTTTGTTCAGAGCAGGTTCCAATCCACTCTGATAAAAGGCTTCTTTAATGTTTCCATGTCTTATTAAACGTCTCTCTACTCACTTTGATGGGAATGTAAAGGACAGTAAATGAATAAATATTTTATCCATTCTTTTGATGAAATATGTTAAAGGGGATAACCTAAGTCAAACCTCTTTTCTTTTCTTTCTTCTCTCCTCTTTAAGTTATAAAGAACAAGTGGTTTTCTCTAGTACAGAGAACTGATAAATAGAAATGAGGAATTGGCTTCAACAGATCAGACCATTAGTATTAATGAAGTCTACTATCTTGACTCTAGCAGTGGCCAGTTGGACACATGCATGATGTAAATGAGAGGAAGGCAGGATGTTTTCAATGCTCTCAGTGGACAATCAGATTAGTCCATGAATTATGAGAAGTTGTTAGACAGATTAACACTATTATTACTGGACATATACTTTTCTCACAACTTTAAAAATGCAGCCACAAAAAACGTTGCATAGTTATTTGCATCTAACTTCAAACGTAGCCTTGATTTTACTGCTATGAGATAAGCCACTAAAGCTCATTTAAACTGCTTTAAAAAATAAATTGAAAAAAAAAATAGTTTTTAATTTCTCTAAAATATATAATTACAAGCACAAAAATGTGCATGCATTTCTATGACAATTTGTCCCTAGAGTCGATTCACATTTCCATGTGTCACCTGTCCATGTAGTTGTGGTATAGGTATCTCCTTCACATATGATATTGTAAACAACTGACAACAAGTTACATCTGATGGAACTTGAAAGAGTGAAATATTTTGGATTTAAACTCATGGGAATGATCTCACCAGGGGAAAAAGTGTCACATTAAGACACGAGTACCTTCTTCCACAGCCTGAAAGGAAAGAAATAGGCTGCAAGGATGAGCAGAAGGTTTAGAACTTTAGGTAATATGAATACTTCATTGAAAATCAGCTACAGTCCTCAAGCTCTGGGAAACTTCTGTCATCAGTGTTTATCAAATTGCTTGAGATGTCTTGAAGAAATTAATCCTGACTTGGTTTATTAATATTTTAGATTTCTTATTGCATGATAAGGCATACAAGACAAACTTTAATTACCTTACTTTTCTCAATCTAGGAAATATTTTTCTGCATGTGTCAAAAATGTCATGTTTGAATATTGTGTATAAATTGATTTCTTATGATAATATCAAATTACATGAGTTTTCTTTCTTTCCTGATCTTCTGAGTTCAATTTGTCTGCAGTGACCTTAATGAAATGTCTAAATATATCTTTCTAGATAAAAAGATAAAAGACTGAAAAAATTATTATTATTATTTTTATTATACTACAGGCATTTCAGTCTGGTGAATATTCCAATTGGATATGGAGAAAAATAATGCCATCACAGAGTGCAATATGTGGAAATACCATTCCTATGACTGTTCATTTCCTCATATCCATATACCAGTTACTTAAATGGCAGGAATCCTATAGTCCTAAAGCACCAACACTTTGTAACAGTTTCTCATTTATCTTCAGATAAATCTCATTCTTTTCAGATGTGACATCATTCTCTAGTGATAGTAAAAATAATTCAAATAAAGTAATTGTCTTTGCAGAGCCATTTGTTATGATAAGTGAATTCCAATCAAATGTTTAATGAATGTTGGAACAAGACATGGATAAGCAGAATGAAGCAAGACTGCCAAATATGCTTTTAGAGGACTGAAAACATAATGGAGTCCAACCACTTTGCCCAGGCTTCCAGTTTTGATGTGTAAGTTGCTACAAGTTAAAGGTGAGTCTCTTCCCAGCTTTCAGTCATCATTCTCCAGACACTAGGCTATGACTCTTCTAGGGAAGGGTTACTCTGCTTAGTATGTGTGCATGAAAAACCAGGAGCAAATAGTTTTTCATTGAGAAAGAACAGCTGAGGATCAAGAGGTGAGATTGTGTAACTGTACTGAACAATGCAATTGCTCATTTCCTGGAATGCATTACTTGAAATAAAATACTGATGCCCCGTATAGGCATTCTTTCCTAAGGAACACACTGTGACACAAAGATTTCATGCACACAGGCAAGTAAATGGTGCCTGGGAACATTACTGGACTCTGGAATTCAGAAGTACATAGCCTGCAACACGGTTTTGGATAGCCTCTGACAACTTTGACTTGTGCCAAGCAGCAATGTTTCAAAAAAATCATTGGCTCAGTTCAGCAACTGGCAGAGGCCAGGGACCCCTCCCAGTAGATAGCTGAGATACATCCAGCCCATTCTGACCTTGAGGAAGTGTACTGGATGTAGATCTCTCTAAGAGAGGAAAAAAAAAAACACCTTCAGAGAGATAACAGTTGAGTTGAGTTTGATTTAGCAATCTAGATATGCCCACATAACAAAACTATGTCAAATGGGAAAAAAACATTTTGAACATGACTTTAATGGCCTATTTGGAACTGAATTTTTGACAGGGGGAGATGGAATTAATGAATCATAAAATGAGATTTTTAAGAAAGTATATTTTAGCCAACATATATTTCAGTTTTTTAATTGCACTATGGATGTGGCTCTTTATTAAATGCTTAATTGCCCAACATAAAGCAAAGCTGTGATTTTGCATAAAGTCGATGATATTAATTAAGAAAAACCTATGCTACAGTATATGCAGTGATTTCCAGTAGCAATGCAATCTTTTAAATTTTAGTATTATGTCACACTGACTTTCAGCCAGTTTCTTTTGCAATGCATAAGAAAAGAAGAAAATGAGAGATTATGTGGGTAATGACAAATCTATCTATCTAGCTATGTCCTATTATATCTAAGTATTTAAAATCCATTAACAATATCACAAATAATTTTGGAACTCTACATAAAGTCTTACAAGTAAAGCACA